TTCAGCTCTCACCCCATCTAGAGAAATAGCCTACGGTGTTGCATAGAGAAGAAGATATATAATCATATCAAAAAAAGGAGGTGCAGATGGATCCCTTCCCGGGCCATCAATATTGGTGATGCTTTGGACAAAAAACAAAGGTTGGTGAGGGGAGAGGATTTCACACACACTATCAAGATATTATGGGGTCCAAATATGAGACAATTGGTCTGCAAATCAAGATCCATTTTCACTGACCCTTTTTACTTTAATTGTTCCAATATGAACAAATTTGTTTATCATAATGATGTAGACAATTTTAACAATTTTGGTTATGTTAACTAATTCTTCAAAGACATACGTGGCTTAGGCCAAATTCAGATAAGTTGATCTAGGAATTGTGCCCGCCCGTTATACCGGAGTTTTATATCCTCTCCCCGTACATTAGAGTGTTTAGCTTTAGAATATCGTTGTATTAAAAAGAATGAAATGGAATTGGGCTGCAGCCTGCACCAAGCTTCTAGCATACTGATAGCCCATTGTGTAAAAGCCCAAGCAAATGTAATCCGAGAAAAATTTCTTTTAAAACGACCAACATAATATTATCTCGCGCTCTCAGAAGGAAAAAAAAAAAAAACAATCCGGCAGACATAATCATCTCTGCGACTGTGACTGTGAGTGGTTTTATTGCAAATTTGTAATGTACCAAAAAATCAAAAGAAAAACGAACTCTGCGTGCAAAGCAATCCGATTCCGCTACCTCTCTCTTTCCCTCCCATTCGTAATGCCCAAAACCCTGACCCTCTCTCGCTTCAAGACACTCCTCTTGATCATCTCCATCTTCTTCAACCTCTACTTGCTCTTCATCCACGCGCCGCCGACCTTTATCTCGCGCTACTCGTCCTCTCCCACCACGCGCCGCCACCTCGTCTTCGCCATCGCGTCCTCCTCTCGCTCCTGGGCCCGCCGCGAGCCCTACATCCGCCTCTGGTGCTCCCCGATCTCCACTCGCGCCTTCGCCTTCCTCGACCGGGCCCCGCTCGATTCCCAAGGCTACGGCTCCGGCGCGCAGGTCGTCTTCTCCGGCGACACCTCCCAATTTCCTTACACTTTCCGGGGAGGGCTCCGGTCCGCGATCCGCGTGGCGCGCGCGGTCAAGGAGGTCGTCGATCGCGGCGAGCCCGACGTGAGGTGGTTCATTTTTGGCGACGACGACACGGTGTTTTTCGTCGAGAACCTGGTGAAGACTTTGTCGAAGTACGACCATGATCGGTGGTTTTACGTTGGGAGCAATTCGGAGAGCTACCAGCAAAATGTGAAGTACACGTTCGAAATGGCTTTTGGCGGTGGAGGGTTCGCCATTAGCCATTCACTGGCTAAGGTTCTAGCAAGGGTTTTTGACTCTTGCCTGATGAGGTACGGCCACTTGTACGGAAGCGATGCTAGAGTTTTCTCATGTGTGGCGGAGCTCGGCGTTGGGTTGACCCATGAGCCTGGGTTTCATCAGGTATAGAATGTGAATATTTAATTTGCCTTTTTCATTATAAGATTTTGATGGTTTGTACATGCATTCTCCTCAATAGTTGAATTTTATGTATCCTGAAATTGGTTGAAACTGGTTTTTGTTATGAAAATAATTGCTTGACGGTGTTTAATGGATTGCACTTTGCAAGGAAAGTGTAATTAATTATCATAAACTTTTTGATCCAGATTAAAAGGCTCACTCTTTTAGTAGGTGGCCGATTGTGTTTAGTGAAGCTTTCTCGTTTTAAGAACTAAGGAATGGTTTGGACCTTCTAGAACTTGCCCTTGAAGTTGGGGAAATGGGAATAGTAATCTGTTATGGCATGATGGTTGGTGTAGAGATAGGCTCTTTGAGATTGTGATTCCTTACCTGCACACGATAGTTTAAGGGAAGACGGCCTTGGAGAGACGTTTTTCGGTTTGCTCAGGAGACGTTTTGTAGGTGTTCCCTGGTTTGTAGGGAGCTACAGAATGGGAAGGTTGGTTTTGATGCAAGCTGCCAAACTCTATGGTGTGCTCTACTGAATGGAGAATGGCGGTACTGGGAATAAGGGGGGATGGTACTTCTCTACTAGTTATTCTATTGGCTGTTGATCCATCTTAGATTTGGGACATCTATCATTTTCAGATTTTATAGATCCTATTTCCTTCAGAGACCGAACTCTTCCAGCTGGGCAGCAGTTGATTTATACTAACTTTGTATTTGGGCCTTGCTCATTCCCTTTTCTTTTTTTGTTTTGATAGTTTTATCTTCATTTGTAAGAAATAAGGTTTAATAAAATCAAGAAGTTGAGAAGAAAGAGTTAATATATGCTATGGGAATACTTGCTCCTTGATTAGGTGTTCTTTAGTTTTACAAGGTTGTTGACAAACATGGCTTGATTATGCCCATGAACCCCATTGCGTTATGAGATGGACAAAACTGGATAACTGAACTGTAGTAACTTCAATTGGATGATTTCTAGGTTTTATTTTTCTTCAACTTCTACAATGGAAGCTACTTGTAGGATGGCCCAAAAGTCATGGAAGCTACTCGAAGGAACTATTGGCTGCATCAATAAAAACGTATCCTCCCCTTGGGGCTTTACCAAGAAACATACTAAATAGACATTAGTAAAGTAGTTATTTGACTTGGACAAATCTATATTACATTTTGTGCCCCTCTGCTTCGTCATGTTTCAACTTTGAACATAATGCAATTACATTTTTTATTTGGACGGCTGATGCTATTACTGTTGGCCTGATTTTCTAGTTATTAGCTTATTTTGCACAAGCTAAGTTGACAATTTAGTTGTTGCCACGTTGTGGATTTCATTAATGACAACCAAGTTTTCAGATCATTATATAGTTTTGATTGGTATCCTACATCTATGGAATCCAATTTGAGCTTGTTAGCTGAGATTCTTGTTGCAGACTTGTTTCAAGTTATGTGCTGAGTTTTAAGAGCGTTATCTTCATTTCTCTAACCAGGTTGATATGCGGGGGAATTTGTTTGGAATGCTATCTGCACATCCATTGTCACCGTTGGTGTCCCTTCATCATTTGGATGCTGCAGAGCCAATCTTCCCAGAAATGAACAAGACTCAAGCTTTAGAACATCTTTTTGAAGCTGTGAATGTTGATCCGGCCAGGATTTTGCAGCAAACTGTTTGCTATGACATTTCGCATTCATTGACTTTTTCTGTTGCGTGGGGTTATGCTATTCAGGTCTATGATGGCAATGTACTCCTCCCAGATCTCCTTTCACTGCAGAAAACTTTTACTCCATGGAGGAGGAGTGGTAGTTTTGATGCAAGTCAATATATGTTTAATATGAGAGATTATCCTAAAGATAAATGTAAAAGACCAACGGTCTTTTTTCTAGAAAGCGTAATAGCCAATAGCCATGGCATCTGGAGCACCTACACTAGGCACAGTGTGGAAAACTGCTCGAAAGCAAATGCAATAAAGAATTTGGAGCAAATCAGAGTGTTCTCACATAAGCTAGAGCTTGATGTTGATGAGGTATTATTTAACTGATTTCTTATATTAAATTTTGTTTCATATTTTAGTCATTTTTAGTCAATGCCATTTAACTACAGTCCATTTTTACATTCCAGATGAAGGCTCCACGTCGTCCCTGCTGCAACATTTTGCCGTCTTTTAACGACTCAATGACTATCAACATTAGACGGTGTGGAGATGATGAAGTAATATCCATGAATTTCTAGAGTTTCTCTCTTGGAATAGTTGCTCCGAGGATAATTAGTTTAATGCAGAATTCAGAGTACAAGCAAGTTTGGTTAACTTATCAGCTCATCAAGGTAATTAGTAATATCATTTCCTGTTCTTAAATTATGTTTGATAAGTTCTTAGGGAACATTGACTTCTACATGGCCATTTGAATGACTTTCGTTTAGCCTATTTAGTTCCCTCCTCCCTTCTACATGGCCATTTGCTTATTTTCCCTGCTCATTATTCTGTTATTGAGATATCCTGACATAGGTTGTTCACTTGTTAGTAAGTATGCTCGAGAATCGCATGCATTTGTGTTATAAGTGATATTATCTGATTAAATGATCTTCACTCAAGAACGCTAAAGTTCTTTTTCTTCTTGACAGGAGTAGGAGAATATAGTTGGAGATGGCCGTTTATCTTTGGATCAAGACATGGAGCAAAAGCAAGGATTCTGGAATCATTTCCTTGAAAAAAAAAAATTCAAAATCAAAAGAGTTTGGATCCTGTTGTTGAAATGAAGCCAGTTAAGGTTTTAATGTCTGATAGGGCCACTCTTGTTAAACTTTCCAGTGGCCAGTTATCTCGGAAATTTGAAGAACACCACGCCTAATCTAGTGACGGGGAGACGACCCAAGCAAATGTGGAACTGCAAAGGATTTAACTTTAGCTAGTGAAATCATAGGCACTACAAACGGTACTATTCCCCATGTTTTTTTGGGTTTTCTGCTCAGACTTTATCATCAGTTTAAATTGAGAAAAAAAAAGGTGTGTAATTTTACCTCAATATATATAATCAAAGTTATAAGAGTTATGTTAGTGTCACGTTGTATTACATTTATAACGTTTAAAGTTATTCATCCGAGAAAAAAAAAAAAAAAAAAGCAAGTCCAAACAGTTGCTTTACGTAACAGTTCTATTTGCTAAGCCCGTTAAAGTTTTTTATTTTATTTTTAAAAACTTGGAGCTGAAGTTGCTGCCTTCTTCACGCTCTCCTCTGCATCAACGAAGCTACCCAATTAATTAATTAATCCTTTTATAACTACCAAGGGCCAAGTCCTAATCCACTGCCAATAGTATTTTAACACCTAACCCTCTTCTTAATCACTCAATGCTGTTGCTGTCGAGTAGCTGACGATTTGAATCTTAAACGAACGCACTCAACAGCTGGGTTCTTTGGGTTGGCAAAGAAAATGTGGACTGACTGTGTCTCTGTGTGTAAAGAAAGACCGCGCCTACCCCATCTTTTATTTTGGAAATTTAACTACCCTAATTACACTTTTCTGCACAAGTGCAGGTCAAAGTTTGCATCTTTCTGATGCCGTGGATTTCGGTGTTTAAACTTTATACACTGTTTATATGGTCCACCAACTTTGATACAAATTCTTCAAAATCTCTGCAACTCTGTTTCTTTTCTTTTTCTTTTCCATTTACCATTCAATCTTTGAAAATGTTGCTACCTCAATCGCCCTTCAAATCCCAGTCCTCTTCTCGGTTGATAAACCTCGTCATAATCTCATCTTCTGTCTTCACGCTCTTTCTTCTTGTGTCATTCTTCCTTGTATTTACCAGCTCCAAGCTTCCGCATATCAGCTACTTATCTCAAGATGTGTACTCCCCGCCCCCAACCTCTCTTGAGCACATTGTGTTCGGGATTGCTTCGAATCAGAAGTCGTGGTCAGCTAAGAGGAAGGAGTATGTCAGGCTCTGGTGGAAGAACCAATCCATGAGGGGATGTGTGTTTCTTGAAAGCCTTCCAACTGGTCATGAACATCATGCCAATGATACTTCTCTTCCTCCAGTATGTATCTCGGAGGACACTTCCCGATTTCGTTACACTTACAGAGGTGGTATGAGGTCTGCAATCCGTGTGGCACGTGTTGTTTCGGAGACCGTGGCACTCAACCATTCGAATGTGCGGTGGTATGTTTTTGGGGACGATGACACAGTTTTCTTTCCGGAGAATTTGGTGAAGACGCTTTCTAAGTATGATCATAGGCTGTGGTACTACATTGGGACAAACTCAGAGATCTATGAGCAGAACAGAATTTTTGGCTTTGGAATGGCTTATGGTGGTGCTGGTTTCGCTATAAGTTCCCCTTTGGCAAAAGTATTGGCGAAGGTGTTTGATTCATGTATAGAAAGATATCCTCATCTCTATGGAAGTGACTCTAGGATCTCCTCTTGCTTGGCAGAGCTTGGCATTGGCTTAACTCAGGAGCCTGGCTTCCATCAGGTACTTATTTCTCTGTAACATCAATCTCTCTGTTTTTATTTTTAATTTGTAATCGAAAGAAGTAAATTTTTTGGTTCTCGGTTGTGAAATTGAACCAGAATGATATTCATGGAGATACATTTGGTCTGTTGGCTGCGCATCCACTAACACCCTTGGTATCTCTGCATCACTTGGATCACATAAACCCTGTCTTCCCCAACATGACAACTATCAAGGCTCTGCAACATTTGTTTGAGGCTGTGAATGCTGATTCTCAGAGGGTTCTACAAAAAACAGTTTGCTATGACAGATGGTTTTCATGGACCATATCAGTGTCATGGGGTTATGCTGTTCAAATTCACGGAAACCATATCCTTCTGCCGCACGTCCTCCCCGTGCAAGAGACGTTCAGCCAGTGGAAAAAGGGAAGTGTTCTGTCAGGAGCTTATACTTTCAACACAAGAGAACATCACAAGGACCCGTGTCGAAGACCGGTTGTTTTCTTTCTGGACAATGTGTCCTCTGCTGGGGATGGGATCAAGAGCATCTACAAAAAGTCCTACGAAAATTGCACCTCTGACATGGGTTCGCCGAGGAAGCTGGAGGAGGTCAGAGTGTACTCACATAAGCTAGACCTTGATATCAAACAGGTATTTCTTGCTTACAACATTTTGACATAATACTTGTTCAATCCCTTAATCATTGCCTATATGTTCATGGAGCTTACAAAATCCTAATTCCATATTTTCTTGACTTTTATCAGTTGCAGGCTCCAAGAAGGCATTGTTGTGACATATTACCTTCTACAGGTGGAAAAGTGATGGATATTGGAATCAGAGAATGCAAAGATGAAGAATTAATATACATGCACCCATAGGAGTTTTTCATACAGGCATAGAGCTGTATCACAGGCAATCCATTACAGGCCATTTTATAATACATATGTAATTGAGTCTTATAAATCACGAATTGTTGTAGATGTTAGCAAACTTGATATTCTTATCCCATGTAATTTGTAAATTGAGGATGACATGTACTCGCCATTGGAATCTGGTTTTGAATTCGATCGCTTTTTGGCATGGAGATCTCAAGGATCCAGAAATCTAGGCAGGCCTAAATTCAAGAGACAGAGAGGGTTGGATTGGAACTTGGATGTGAATGCGGATATTATGCAGGCAGATACTTTTTAGGTGATAGAGAGCACTATCTGTGAACCCAGTTTGGCCACGTTTAATCAAATAACTAGGGGTATGTCCAATGTCTGAGAATACTTGGGGTTTTTTTCTAAAATTTTATTTTTTGAAAAGGGGTCAAAGAATACTTTGATTCATCTACATGAAATGTTGAGACAAAGATTATTAATAGCCTTTTTTCATATAAAATCCTTCCTATAGATTCAAGTTGTTGGGTTCCATTCCATGCACATCTCACAGAGACAATATGCATCTTATTTTCCACTGTTCTTATCTTATCTAAATCACTTTTCTCCTAAGAAAACTTTTGGGTAACTGGCAAGCCCAGATTGATTGAGAGAGGGCACCCATTTGGAGGAGAATATTGCTTTGCCAGCAATTAGACTTTTGAGGACACTATGGCCTATGGGGTGAGACTGGGGAACATTTTAGGGTACCGTCCCATACTGTCTTACCAACTCTAGCAAAGTTGGGTTTGGTGGGGCCATCCATTGGGCCTTTGTTCCCTCAGCCTCAAGACTCTAAACTGATTGGGCCTTTACTCTAGAAGTATGAATTTATTATTTACTTACCCATTAAAATTCCGTTTGTGTTATAAACATGACATCCTATAAGAAGAAGAATATACAGAAAATTCCCGTAAATAAATATTCTCATATTGTGTTCCATATTTTAGCACATTTTATTTGATTCTAAGTGACAACAAGGAGTGAAGTAGAGGGCAGAGAGAGATGGGACTGATGTGGGAAAACGAAGGCCATGAAAGGTAACTTTTAGAATGCATGGTGCACAATAAAAGAAAGGTACAAAACATGTTGAACATAGAAATCTATCCAAGATTATACAGGATTGGCTAGAGGAGATGGATACGCAACTTTCTGGCGAAAAAGCGTGGAAAGACTATACTTTGGGTGGGCTAATGTTTTAGTTTAGGCTTAAAAACATGTAAGTCACCTGAGCTATAGCCCAGGTTGCCCTCTTCTAAGGTCCGTCTCTGACTCCGATGGATTTAAAAACAGAGCGTAAGATGAAGATGGGAAGAAAATATAATTCACAAAGTAGAAGTCAATTAACCGTAAAAAGTTTTGTTGATTGTAAAATTTGGTAAGATGATAAGAAGAAAGTTGGAAAGAGAGGCCATGAAAATTCAATACACTACCAAGCTTTAAAATGTTTCATTCTAGCACAGGGACCCACTATTCATGTGTGTGAATTTAGTATATTATCGCCCCTCTCAATATAGGAAAGATCCTTTAAAAAAAAAAGTTTCCTTTTATATGAGTAATATTCTTCCATTTACTATATTCTTTTGTGACCCAATAACTCCCTTTATAAACTAAAAGTACAATCGTTTAGATTGTAAGTATGAATAATTGTAAACTGTAATAAGTAATTGAACATATTTCGATTTATGTTCTTGCAACAAACAAACATAAATAAAATATTCTTTTCTGATTATCAAAACAAATGCCATCTAAAAGAATTGGTACACTTCAAATCTCACATAAAAACTTCCATAAATAACTCGTCCACCTGTCCTTCTTCTATTACTATAATCTAGAAGTTCGCTTATTGCAATTTTAAGGCAATTCTTATAAGGGAGCTTCACTAATATACCCAAAATGGGTGCTGAAATTATAAAAAAACCCCATATGAAAAACACTTTATAAACACACCCAAAACTCATTTATTAAATAACAAATTGGTATTGAAGTTCCTATATATTACAAGACTGCCACTAATATGCCCCAACAGAAAAAAAAACTCAAAAGACACCCAAAACCAACCCATCCCAAATTTATAAACAAGCCCAAATATTTTGACCATCTAAAACACTGTAACTTTTGTCCAAAAAAAAAAAGAACACGGTAACTCAACTTCCAACACACACATTTATTAACTTCTCTGCAAAACGTCGCTTCGTTCACCTTCATCAAAGCGTCTTCATCTTCAATTAGGCAGAAACTCCATAACCACCACCAAGCACCAGGCCCCAAGCACCAAGAACAAATACCACACAGTGACCTCCGCCTACAAAACCAAGAGAAAAGTTCAAAGAAGGATTTCAACACGAAAACGCTTCAAAGGTAAGACATTTACAAACCAAACCTACACTATAATTTTGATTAATTTCTATAGAATTCCAATCTAGGGTAATAACAGCATTTTAGATTCGAATCAAAGACAAAATCTTGAAACTATATTGGATTTCACTATTGCATTGACTGCTTACTATCATTATTTTAGTCGCTAGTTCACTGAAATTTCTGATTAATGGCTGTAAAGTTCCAATATAGGGTATTAACACTGATTGTTTCCTCTGAAATCCTATTTTTGAATAATGTCTACCACTGTAAAGTTCCAGTATAGGGTAATAACACTGTTTGTTTGCTATGAAATCATATTTGTAATGCACGTCTACCAGTGTTATTACCACATACTGGAACTATACAATGGTAGACATGCATTACAAATAGGATTTCAAAGGAAACAAGCAGTATTAATACCCTATACTGGAACTTTACAGTGGTAGACATTATTCAAAAATAGGATTTCAGAGGAAACAATCAGTGTTAATACCCTATATTGGAACTTTACAGCCATTAATCAGAAATTTCAGTGAACTAGCGACTAAAATAATGATAGTAAGCAGTCAGTGCAATAGTGAAATCCAATATAGTTTCAAGATTTTCACAAATTTCTAACCACAGCTCAAACAGCAAATCCACAACCAAACCGAATATGAAATCAATCCAAATTATAAACAAAAAGAAACTAAAATCACAATTTGAAACTCAAACGAATATCTAAATACAAATTAGAACGAAATCAGAAAATCCAACAGCTTACCTCCAAATCGGCAATAACAAAAATAAACATATAAAATCAAGAAGAATTGGATCTACAATTGCACATACATAAACACCAAAATCTAGGGTGTATTGATTAATTTCCAAAACTCCAAAATTTATCATAACCACATACATAAACAGCTAGAGCACGAAAAGTAGATGAAGTTTCATACCTTGATCGACGGAAACAACCGCCGAAGTCGCCGGAAACGACGTCGAAAAACTCAAAATCCACAGACCTTTCTGAGCTCGCAGCGGCGTCGTGAGTGGCTGATGTGGCTGGGCTTTAGCCCAGACTTGATCGTCGGCCTTGGCCGGTCCTTTTCTGACCGGTCTCACGGCTGGTTGTGGCCGGAGCACCAAGATCGCTGGAGAGAGACGAGAGCGAACAGAGAGAGATGAGAGAGAGAGCGCCCAAAAAGTTTTCAAATAAACTAATTTAATACTAAATGGGTAATAAAGGTATTTCATTTATCTAATTAAATTAAAAAAAGGTAATAGCAGGCAGTTTTGGGTTTTTTTTGGGTGTGTTTATATATATTGAATGGTATAGGGTATATTTATAGTTTTATGTCTAGGAATGGACTGTAAAGTTCCAATACAGGGTATTAACACTGATTGTTTCCTCTGAAATCCTATTTTTGAATAATGTCTACCACTGTAAAGTTCCAGTATAGGGTATTAATACTGCTTGTTTCCTTTGAAATCCTATTTGTAATGCATGTCTACCATTGTATAGTTCCAGTATGTGGTAATAACACTGGTAGACGTGCATTACAAATATGATTTCATAGCAAACAAACAGTGTTATTACCCTATACTGGAACTTTACAGTGGTAGACGTGCATTACAAATACGATTTCATAGCAAACAAGCAGTGTTATATTATTTGTAATTTGTCACATAAATCTTGTTTTTTGTGTCACTTGCACTAAAATTTTTTAAGGAAAATTAGGTATTAGACATAGATAACTTTACTTATTAGTATTTAAGACATTTGATATTTTGGTTTGGGTTTTAATACCTAGAAAAGAATTGTTATTTTGGATTAGGCCAAAGAGGAAGACCAGATTTGTTGATATTACATACGATTTCATAGCAAACAAGCAGTGTTAATACCCTATACTGGAACTTTACAATGGTAGACATGCATTAGAAATAGGATTTCATAGCAAACAAGCAGTGTTAATACCCTATACTGGAACTTTACAATGGTAGACATGCATTAGAAAAAGGATTTCATAGCAAACAAGCAGTGTTATTACCTTATGCTGGAACTTTACAGAGGTAGACAGGCATTAGAAATAGGATTTCATAGCAAACAAGCAGTGTTATTACCCTATACTGGAACTTTACAGTGGTAGACATGCATTAGAAATAGGATTTCATAG